AGGATAGTTGTTACATGACACAAGTCAAGTTAGTCTACTCAGGCTTTCTGGGTGAATCCACACACTGGCCAAAGAAAACCTCTCAAACAATAAATTTCTCTTAATTCTGTGGACTGTTATTGTGGAGATTATTCTCCAAAATTTACTCATGCATTCCATGAGCATGAGAACTATTGTTTCCTAATTTCTTTCCCTTAAGACATTCAGGTTCAACCGCTTCTTTCAGTTACATTTCCCCACCTACTTCAAGAGTAGTAACAGTTATCATGGCAACTCTGTGTCTCTGATTTATACTTTCCACACCCAAAAATACAACATTTCATTTTGCTCATGATTTCTTGCCTCAGGAATCTGGGAAGAGTTCAACATTACTGTGGCCTCAGTTCAGCAATAAATAGAAACACAGATAGAGTGGATCAAGAAATATGATCCATCAAATGTGGTATAAAAGAAACACAGTAATTAGAATGAAAATTCATAGATCGAAAGTCAAAGAAGAGAAAACAATGCTCTGTGTCACAAAGAACCAGAAAAAAAGGGGTAGCTTTCCCATTAAATGCAGAATGGTTAAGGAATTATAATATTTCTATACATGGAAAGCTACTCAACTAAAAAGAAGGATAATCGTGAGGCTCTTGTAGGTAAATGGATGCAATTTCTGATCATGCTCTTGGGGAAATAGTTTGGACTTACATACGTGAACCTCACACTGTCTCCCTAATATAAAAAAAACTGAAGGAGTTAGTGGGATCCAAAATGTAAAATAGACATTGTCAAAGTGAAAGCAGAAGAAATGTCTAAAAAGGTATGGTAGTAACCATTGTCAATTTCCCTATTATTTTGTTGTAAAGTCCTGCATTATTTCAGTTGTTTTGTTTTGACTGGTTTTATTCTGTTTTGTTTGGTTTAGTTTTACTATATCTGATGTCATGGGCAGCTTTTTTGAGAATAGCAAGACATATTACGGTAGCCACTGTTGATTTTCTATTATCTTGTTTTGAAGTTTTGCATTGATTTCACTGTTTTGTTTTGATAGATTTTATTTTATTTTGTTTTGTTTTGTTTGATTTTATTGTATATGATGGCATGGGCAGCTATTTTGAAGATAACAAGGAATATTATTGCAACCATTGTTGATTTCTTATTATCTTGTTTGAAGTCTTGCATTGCTTTCACTATTGTTTTTGATTGGTTTTATTCTGTTCCATTTTATTAATTCCATTGATGTTGTCATGTGATGTAAAATACAATATGAACTCATTAAAGCCATCAATATTTATATGAAAAATATCCCTTATATACTTATCTCTGCTTAGACCCATCTATATATTTATTAAAAAGATATAAACAAAATGGCTTTGCACACAAAGGCAGTGGCAGAGCCCATGCGACAAAGAGCTTCAGCTCCTTCTGTACTCACTCTGACAAACCCAGGGAGAATGTGTGCATTTTCAGGATGAAGACTGGGTTTACTGTGCTGCCTCTTGTCCAGCTCATCGTGCTTTAGATTTAACCAGTCTGCCTGACCTGACAGAGATGATGTCCACATATGTATTTATTCACAAGGAATAGCAGATAAAAAGTAATTTTGCTAAAACAGTGTACTTTTATATTTATTTTTTAGTTTCTCGTGTGTTTTTGAGATAAGTTTTTCCATGCAATTCAGGTTTGCCCTGAAATCACTTTGTAGCCAAGGCTGGCCTTCAACTTACAGCAACACTCCTGCCTCCACCTCCTGAGTTCTGGGAGTTCAGACATGTACTACCACAGCCAGACTCTTGGTATACATTTAATACACTGTACAGAAACACTAAAGGAGCATAGAAAAGTTAAAAGGAGCAAAAAACTCTATATCTTAAAACTCATGAAGCCTCTCAGATATCTGTCTAATAAATTGGAAGAGATTGAAATACTCCATTGCTTCAGTCAAGAAAGAGAAGACTTACAGGTCTAGACCAAAGTGATATGACTCTCTTCTAGGGTCTGAAAAGTTTGATGTATTGACATTGAGAGGACTGCATGTACATGGTGTTTGTTTAGCACATGACAGGGAAAAGCTTTCCATACCCACTCTTGCATTTGCTGAAAGATGGACAGGTAAAATAATTGGGGATGACTACTTTTAAAGCAAATAAGGCCCTGTGACTTTTTCTGTTTATCAGAAATATATTCTCAGTGTCATTTTCCTTTCCTAGAACTTTCCATATCTTTATTCTTCAATATTACAAATGTCATCAAGCAACAGTCTATTGCTAGGTAAGGGAAAAGGTCACCGTATGTTAGAAGCTAAAATAACATATGGGGTTCTCAAATTTTTTTCTTCTTTTTTGACAGAGAGACAAAACTGAGAAACTAAGCACTTATGGAGGTTACTGAGTGGGTAAACATAACTGACATCCAGACTGTCTCTGGTGTCTCTGTTTTATGTGTCACAGGGGCAGCTCTGCATTCCAGGTGATGTAAGGACTCTTCCTTCAGGCTTGGGTTTAGAGTGAATATATCACATAGCAGTATCCTGGGTGTAACCCCCTCCACGACTGATCTCCATTTTCCACTGTTCATGTGCAAGGAACACACCAAACTGGATCACGTGAGCATTTTACGGGCTGTACTTTCAGGAAGTTGCTCTTTTTGTACCTAGGACTGAGCCTGGAGATTCCCAGTCTTCAAATGTCAGTTTTCACATGAGGCTTTTTTGGTCAGAGCAAATGTTCTCTTTTAACTGGGCTAAGTACATGAGTTTTAATGTTTTGTTTTCCAAGTCAGTAAGAATAAGCAGATTGATTTTCATCATGTAACAAGACCTCAGTTCTTGCTCTTGAACTTTGAGCAAGATTGCCTTCTTTGCACTGCCTCTAGCTGTAACTTTCTTACTCATTCTCATAATTCTCATTTTCTCTGGTAATACTATTTGCTGTATATACCGGTTTTCTTGTCCACTACTTTGAAAATATACTATACTCTTTGAGACCTATTAGGGTGTTCATTGAATTTCTAGGAATTTTTCCATCTAGTGCGGTTCTAGAACACTCAGAATACCACAAAGATCCAAATACGTTTCTCAAAGAACAAACTTGCTCTGTGTTCACCTCAAAATCAAGTCATATTTGAAAGCTGAATGTTGGGCGCAGGCGCTCAACATACCATACCCCAGCCGGGACTAAGGACCACGCCAGCTTCCGCAATGCGCTACGTCCCTCTTTAAATTAGCCAACCCGTGCGCACCCCGTGCTCACTCCGTACTCTGTGGCAACTCCTGATTGGCCACAGCTGGATATAGTAGCCAGAGCCTGCATCCCATTCCCGCCCTGCTTCCTTGTGGCAGCCTGTGATTGGTCACGGCCAAATATATAAACCAGAGCCCGCGTAAATAAACTAGCAGTTAACTGTCGTCCACAAGAGCATCTCCTGTCTCCTGTTTCATTGGGGAGCTGCGCCGGTCAGCTGAAGAGACAGCAAGACACAGAAAAGTTCAAGAATGGCCACAGAAGGACAAAGATTGGGTAAAAAACAGAGAGGAGAGAAGGCTTCAAAGAAGATATAACTAAATTTTTGCACAAATTTGAAAAAGCCATTTAAAGACAATGCTAAAATTCCAATTCCATGTTGTTATACTCACTTCCCAAACATCTTTAAAAGTTTTTAAGATTTATCAATGCTGACAATATCCAGGAGTATAAATTATAAAGAAAAATGGTATGTTGCAGTGGGGGAATTACATCGCTGGGGAAAAATCAAGCATACTCTCTTCTAATTCATTTGCATCTTCACAAAAGACTTTAATGAACAAAAAATTTCCTTTGAAACCATCTGTTGATTTATATGACTCAATCTGACTTAAAGCAAAATGAAAATCACTGTCAGATTTATTGTTTCCTGGAAGTTTGTTATATAGACACCTGCAGTGTCTTTGAGTATCTTCATAAAATTTAACACAGATAATTTCTCCCAATATTCTGACCTGATCCATACCTCAATATTGAGTCACCCTTACAAGTCTTCCTCCTTTCTGAAAACTGTATGTGTAGAATTCACAGAAATGTGCATATAAAATTCTCCGTACTCCCTATAGGGTCTCAGTGCTGCTCACAGTATCCTTATATTTACTATGTTATTTCCTGTTGACATCCCAAGACCTTATACTGCCTTTTATAAAATTCTGCAAAAATTTGCTCAATTGTTCTTATTATCAAATAATTCTCAAAGTCAATGTATCATACATCACTGGTCTATATTAACAGTAGAATCTATGTTAACTGTTACAATGTTTGCATATTAAGGTGTCATTGCATTCCACATTGACTCACCAGCATATGGCTGTGTCCCTTTCATGTTAGAATGTGCATGTTTATAGATAGATGAAAAATGAAGAAATAACTTCTTTAGCATTGGTTGAAGAAATTTTGACTCAGAATACATGTATTTTTGATACTTTCACCAAAAAATTAGGGTCTCTAGGTAAAAAGAAACAGTTTTAAAATGAGGAATTTCTGGATCTTTAGAATGTTGCACTACTTTTTTGTGCCTATGCATCTGAAACTCTGGTCCACAATACCGTCTCACACTATACAAAGCACTCAACTCAGCTAAGTAAAGAAGCACTCAACTCAGCTAAGTAAAGAAGACTTGTTTTTTAGAGCCTCATTTTTGTCCCATACTTACAGACATAACAGTTATAAAGAGGGCATGAATGTATTTATTTATAGATGTCCAAGTTTATTGGGAATAAATTTTGAAAACATAATTACTAAGACTGACTTTAAATGATTTCAGTAGATTTAGCTATCTTGTCATATTACAATCATTGAATGAGGAAAGGAAAACAATTGACACTTAATACTATGGGAATAAAGGAATCCTACTATATGAGATATTTTGTGTAATCATGGTTTGTGAAAGGACTTCTCAGGCCTGTAGTGTTGGTACATTTCGAGAGAATAGACATCTGTATTTCTGAAACTTTATATTCACTCACATAGTGCATAATGCACTGACTGTACCTGAATAGATGACTCCTGCATTTTCCTGGTAATTGCGAAAGGACTTTACCCAGCCAAAGGAATAACATTTGTTCATATGGGTCTCCTCTCCTGTACAGGTCACCATCCTCATCACGTTGCACCCTGTTCCAGGCCCAAAGTGAGAACCCAGTGTAACATCTAGTACTTCTCCACAGCCTAGCTGTCTGCACACCACTTGACCAGCCTTCTTGTTCCATCCTTCTTCAGATATGGTGCCCCAGACACCCAGGTGAAGAATCTCCAATCTTCCTTCACAGCGATGGCGCCCATCCACCAGGCGGATCTGTGTGATCTCTGAAGAGAGAAAAGGATGTCAAAATTTGCAGTCATAAAGGGAATCAGGCTGGTTTTCTGGTCTGGTGGGAAACACTCACACAGGAACTGTGTACAATGAACATTCAGTCTGCAGAACCTGCTCCTTCAGACAAGGAGTCTTTGCACAAAGGTAGTGGATTGTGTGGATCCTTGCAAAATTAAACATTCAGAAAGTGTTAGTATGATTATACAATAAGAAATAAAATTAAAGTCACAGTTGTTTTTGGAAGTTATTAAGTGTTTAAAAATCAATGAAACATGATGGAGACTATGGTTCATACAACAACATTTTACTAATGGGTTGAAATGTCAAATTCTAGTTCTGGATTATTTTCAATTTTTTTCTGTTTCTGAATAGCTTGGGCAGTTTTTGATAAAGGAAAATATTAAATGGTAATAACTCTGGCCAGATTTCATGAGAACTAATAAAATGTAAACTGCTTCCACAAACACATCAACTGTCTGCCTTTGTTTCCACAATTGTTAGTACTCAAGATTGGAATTTCTTATTTTCTGGTGGGAAGTTGTTTCTAAAGTTAACTTAGATCAGAGCTAGGCTATATTATTCTTGCCGGAGCACTCGATAAATAAAAACATGTCAGTGTCCCTCTGTTATTTTCTTCTTTATATACGAAAGGAGAGGTCAAGTAATGCCCATCCACACTACACTTTAAGCAGATTATGGGATAGAAAATAAAACCAAGAATGTCCTTCAATGAAGGATGGATGAACTCACAGGACACCAGTGCTCCTACCTGTTATAGCTAAGATTTTAAATTGTAAAACAACTAAAAGTATTATTTCTGTGGACCCAATAGAGCCTGATTATGTTAAAATTCCATATAGTGCTGGGGATATTACTCTGACAGATCTTTGTCTAGTATGCATAATAATCTGGGTTCAACCCCTAACATATCAGTAACAAATCAAGGATAAAATTTTAAAGAGGAGGGATCATTTAAACTTAAACCAATGCTTTACAGATTAATTTTCTTGAAGATTAGCTCCATAGTTTAGTTCTCATACTAACAACTCAGAATCTAGGCTTCCAGAAATATGTCCTAAAGACATTCCTTGTGTTTAGAACGAAAGAAAATTTGGGACTATATGGAACTGACTGATAAAATTTGGGATCTGAAATCCTCTGTCTTATCTTAGTGCAGGTTTTCTCCTATAAGGCTTTCTTGACATAGAAGCTGGAGAAGCAACGAGGTCAAAACTAAAGTCCAACACATTAGAAAGAAGAGTAGATACTTTGTTATTCTCTTCAGTATTGGACAACAGCATCATCCAATAGCCACAAGGAAATTCCTGGAAACACAGCTCTTAGGAAGAGAGAGAAACCAGAAATCAACTTATTGCACTCAGAACTGTAACCCCAATTTGTCCCTGATCAGCTCTATTTTGGGTTTAAGTACACTGTCTACATTCTGCATAGGAGAATCAAAGATAAATCTTTACAAGTGTTAGGAAATATATCCACTTTTACTCAAATTTCATACAGAATTTTAGTATTCAATGAGAGAACAGGCATTATGTACAGATAGCATATTACATGACATACCAATAAAACAAAATAAAAAGATACAAGAAAATCAAACCATCCTTAACAATGAAGTTGAAGTTAGCAGAAAAGAAGTGTCTTAGTTTCTTTTCAGAGACAAAATACTTGAAACCAAAAACAAAAGAGGAAAATTTTGGGTGATAATTTTTAGAACTTTTATTGCACAGTCAGCTGTCTCTAAGGCAGGGTGGCCCATGGCAGAGGGGCAACAATTCTTGGGTAAAAAGGCAGCAAAGCACCAAGGAAAGGGAAGGCAGTCACTTTCTATTCCTTTTATTAAATGAGGGCTAGGGTGCACGTAGCACTCACAACCTTAGTCCTATCCAGAGCTAAACCAAGCCACTCAGTGGGTTTTAATACTAATCACTTACCATTAAAACCAGCACCACTCACTCTAATTCAGCCTCCTCTGTAAATTTCCTATCTAAGGTGACATGAGAAGACCGAGAAGATCAGTGGCACAGTACCTGTCTGATGAGAATAAGGTCATGAGTTCAAATCTATGTACCAAAAAGAAAAAAAATAGGATTGTATGAGGCTTTATGGGGAAACCTAGACACAAATCATAAAAAGAACTTTAAAGATGAACAATGAATTTGGAAAAAAAAATGATATGGGAAGAACAAATAGTTTAAAAGATGGAAAAAAACCACTTTAACACCAAATTGTTAAAATAAATACAAGAAATAGGATCCATTGGACAACAAAGTGTTTAGAAGCAAAAATTAAAAATAGATTTAAAAAGATATTAGACACAATTGAAGACAGAATTATTAATTCAAAACTAAAGTGAAAACAACATTTTACACAAAATACACTCAAACACAAAGATTTTTAGAAAGACATTTCAGCATAAGAAACAATTGGGATGTATAAAAACATTTAAAATATAAAATAGTGTATTTGAGAGCAGATGAAGGACAGAATATGAAATGCAGGGACAAGATAGGAGAAGGAGAATGCAAGGCTGAGTGTGGGAGGAAGTAGGAGAAGTGAGGAGGGAGAGAGGAGAAAAGGAGAGAAGAGGAGAGGAAATTTTAAGAATTGAAGACTGTGCAAGGAGGTGAAATTCCTGCTGTGAGTCTCACCTTCACAGACAACCTCAACAACCTCGCCATGCTGGCAGCTGCCTCCAGGACAGGGCCCTCTGGGACACAACCAGAGCTCAAGTTTCTGCCCCTCACACTGGAACTCCTCAGCCCACATCTGTTCACTGGCATTTCTGGACACATTCCCCAGAACAGATAGAGCCTTGTCACACCTCAGCTGTGCACAGATGACCTGGGCAGTGGGGAACGTGAAGTTCACATCAGACACTGGAAGCCAGCCTCTTCCAGAGTGCACTTCCACTCATCCTGAGCAAAGTCCTTGTCTTCCACCCAGACACACAAATCCTGAGGAAGGAAAAGCAAAACAGCACAGTGAGTTTTATGACTCAGGTTTAGAATCTGCAAGAGATTATGATAGAGTTGGTGTTGCTCTGGGCTGGGTCTTGGAAATTAGGAGAAGTGGATTCTTAAGGAGTGTTAACATTAACACGTCACTAACACATGAAGGAGGGCTTGACAATTAATTCTTCAGGAACTTGCAAGATCATTGCAAAATGAATGATTAGACTTGATTAGACTTGAGGCAAGAAGATCCTTGCAAGTTCAAGACCAGCCTGGGCTACAAAGTGAGCACTGAATTTGCTTCAATTAAGAAACAGATTAGGCTTATCATTTTCACTGTATCAGGTTCAAAATCTTTCAATGCCTAAGTTATAATGACAACTGTGTGGAAAGTTGTACATGCATGAAAATTTTCAATATTTTTGAACCTCATGAATGCAATAAGACACTAAGGTAGAAACCACATTATTGACAGTAATATAATCAAGATATTAAAAACACACTTCGCAATACAGAAGACAGAATAGTGAAGAAATGGATTGGAAGTAATTAAAATGTTTGGGACTTTGTCTTTCTTTGCTGTTTCTTTTTAATTTTTTACATTATTTAATTTTTAATTAAATTAATCAATTTAATTTTTAGAGTATTTTTTCCTACATAGTGTAATTTTAAGAAGCCCAGAGACTTCTAGGGATGATGATCTGGAGGGAATTTCAACAATGGTTTTAAAAATAATGGAGGAAATGTGTCTATAAGCATGAACTCTAGCAGGAACTGTTAAATAATAATGTGTAATTGTAATGAAGAACTATAGCAACATCTGTCTTAACTTTAATTTTTTTGTTTTATTTAATTTATTTTTCAATTTTTTTATTTTACAAACAAAACAAGAAAGATAGAACTGATGCAGAATTTCAAAAACAGTAGGAAATTAGCACTACATAATATGTTGGATATTGTTATCTTAGAAGTAGCTGTTCAGGTTTCAAGATTTTGACATGAAAAAATGATCTCTGAAAGTTTATCAAAAAGAAGAGTTTGCATTTTATTTTATTATTTTATTTTATTTGACACAGGGTCTCACTAAGCTGCCCAGGCTGGGCTTGAATTTCAGAACCTATTTATCTGATTACTGGACCTACATTTGAACTTCAATTTTAACACAGACATATAGTCTGCATTTGCAGACACTGTGAATTTTAACTTGGGTCTGCAGAATTCCAAGACAAAATAAAAGAGCATAAAGTATTCACACTTTTGCTTCATTTTCCATCTCTGTTCTTATCTAATGGTGCCTACTATTCTAGCTATTGCCTTAAACATTGCAATGAATGCAGACTTTTCTTTGGACTTGTTGTTTGTATGGTTCATCTTTCACTCTGTCAGCCCTGATTTCAGAAACAAGTCTAATCAATATATGCTTTATAAGTGTTAAACTAACCCAGTGCCAACAATTAAATTTTAATGCTAGCTAGGCTGTGTATTACATAACTCTGATTATGATCAACTAGAGGTAAGTTGAACACAGAATGAACTAGATATAAGTTGAAAAAGGCAATATTATTATTATTTGTCTTTTTGACACAGGGTCTTACTATGCAGTTCAGGATGGCCTTGGGCTCACTTTGTAGCCCAGGCTGGTCTTGAACTTGCAAGGATCTTCTTGCCTCAGCCTTTTGAGTGCTGGGATTACAGAAGTGCACCATGATGTCAGCAAGGGAGTATGCTGACATACATACTACTTTCCTTCTACTTTTGTTCACTTTATATACAACACAGAGCTCTTGTTAGCTCCTTGAATTCAGAGTTGAAGATGCTTTCACCTATACTTTCCTGGTATGGATATTGTGAATAAACTCATTTCTTGCTGTCTTAGTTGCTTTTCTCATTATTGAGACAAAAATACATGACACCCAAAGTTCACAGTGTAAATCAGAAATCAATTATCATTTTTTTTTTTGTGTGTGTGTGTGTAGGCTTATACGTTGTGAGAAAAAATCTAAGGTAGCCTTTTAAGCCATTTGGAAACTTCAAGAGAACTTTTGTTGGCCAGGAAAGAAATACTTCCTCTGCAGCTTCTGCAGATGGCTATTGATATACATGAATCAGTTACATCTAAGATAAAATGAAAAATGCAGCGAGAGGTATCTCTACATGGTCTAGATTGCAATGATGATCTTAGTCAAGTGTATCAAAAATGTCATCCCTTGAATCTTGTCTCAATCTTAAGTTGCTCTTATGATTCATTCTCCTTTACATGTAGATGTAGATTAAATTCACACAAATGTACATATTATATTTTTCCAAACTGCTCCTGTGAATTCACTGCAACCCAGAAATTCCTTACATGTTTTTTTTCTAGTCCCTTTCTACCTTAATCCAAGTATTTTAAGCTTCTCCATCTTCTTCAATAATTCCAATTGCCTCTCAATTTCATTTTTGTCAAAGAAACTCCTAAACTTCTCTTATTTTTCTGAAGCCATTATGGATTAACTATGTTGTATTTTCTCATAATAAACACATATGGGACTCCATTATGTTCCAGTATTGTGTGCAGTATATCACTAAGCTTTTGTCCCAAATTGGTATATTATTCAAATGATTTTGACAAGAAAATGAAGAGGAAATTGTTTTTGATACTGGTGGAGAAAGAATTTATGCCTTGGGGTCTTTTATTTATAGATCTTTGAGCATTCTAGCCAAAGAATGAATCCTACTTAAGACTCAATCTGAAAAAGAGACTTGTAAAATTGCAGTAATAGGTAAATTCCTCTGTGTCTGTTTAACTTTGTCCTACTTGTTGCACATCTATTTACTAATAAAATCTGTTGTGCTATGCACACAGAAGCTTGCATTTCCAGCAGGTAATGTTCAGTTTCATTCTTACACCCCTTCCTAAGAGTCTTACTGCTAATTAGGGAGTGTGTGATAATTTGCAGGTGTTTTGAATTATGTGTTAGTTATAGAATCCTGTACAAAATTATGCAAGTGGATTTTAATTGGAAAAATAATAGAATCAATAATTATGTCAGATTAAACCACTGAACTGGGAATGAGAGACATTTGAGAATTAATGCTAGAGAACCTGAAAGACTACCATTAGCTGCTATAAGTACTTGAGCTTTATGGATGGACCTCTCAGTCTCTACATCCCACCCATCTCCTATTACCATGATCAGATAACTACATTCTTGGCACTCTCTATCCTCTCCCACATTAAGTACAGACCATACCTGAGCAGATGACTCCTACATCTGGTACACCACTGCAGTTTTGTTGACCGCAGCTCCAGGAAGGGCAATGCCACAAATGGGTCTCGTCTCCCATACAGCCTGGTTCTTTCAGCAAAATGCATAGTGGTCCAGAACCAAAGAAAATACCGTAAGTATAGAATATGGCTGTTCCGCAGCCAAGCTGCATGAAAACCACATCAGCATCACTCATATTCCACTTTGCATCACAGATTGTGGCCCAGGAACCCTGGTAAAGAATCTCCACTCTTCCTAAATAACGATAGCCACCATCCATCAGGTGGAAATGCAGGCTTTCTGAGGAAATAGAGTCATATCGATGTGGAATTTATACAGGAAATCTAGTTGCCTTTCTGGTCTGTTGGGAAACACTGAACTAAGCAGTTGGTACACTCTGCATTCAGGGTTAAACATAACCTAAAGAAAAAGTCAACAAGCTAAATTTTCTGAAATGGTAGCAGTTAAAGTAGCAAAACAGATAAATAAGTCTCAAAACAACTCCACTAATAATTCCACAGGTGATTAAAGAGATAATGCCACAATGAAGGAAATAGTGCATCTGGAGTAGATACAGGTTTAAAAGTTATAGGGAAGCTTAGGAAAATATGCAACTCATAAAAACCAACAGATAAACAAACTGGAGTCCACAATACAGGTTCAAATAGAAGAGATTGAAGATTCTCTTTAAGGTATGTAAACAGAATCAACCAATGCAATGATAGAATATCAGATCTAGAAGACAGGATTCTGGTTGGTGTTTACAAAATGAGGACTTTTTAAAAATAATAAAGTGTCATGAAAGTCAATACAAGAACTGCCAGATGACAAAGACGAATAATATAAGACTCAATAAATTCAGCAAAGAATCAAAAGGTATCACAGAACACATGAAAAATTGTGCACATAATTAATAGCAGAAACTTTCTAAGCATGGAAAGTGCACAGATAAGTGAGTCATACAGAATCACACTTAGATCTGATCAGAAAAAAATGTACACCAAGTGTGATAGTCAGTGTGCAGAGAACAATTAGAATCAGGACATGGAATTATAATATTTTTATAATGGTCACTGGGAGTTAACACAAGAAAATAAAGGATATCTATCCGCAACACCTAAGACATAGCATATTTAGTCAAGGGCCTAAATGCACAGCAATGTTCCACATGAGTCCAGATGAAAACCCAGAGCTCATGACAATGCCTCTCAAGAGTCCAACTGGGAGTCCTGAGCCCACAAGAAGGACTCACAGGAGTCTGTTTTATGGATCTGTGCTGAGAAGGCCCAAAAATCAGTGGTGGAAGCCAGAAAGTCCATACCAGTGGGGTGAAGGAGCTGTGATGGTGGGATGAGGGTTCTACAGTGGAGCCGAGAAGTCACACTCACAACAAAGACCAGCACTGTCCTGAAAGGCACCACAGTCATCCTCAGCAACACAGAGTCCCCGAGCTCCTCTAACAACAAGCACAGTTAAGTACATGCCAGGAATCCAGCATGATTAGTTCATCCTGGTTAGCAAGTGGCACACATCTTCTCCTCCAGAGCAGAGTCAATGCTCAATGTGAGGACCAAAGCTTCTCCAGGAGAACCAAACTGCTCAAATAGCAACATGTAGGAGAACCCACAATGCCTTAATGCAACAATGCAACACAATAATGCATTAGCGCCTTCCTTCAGCTTTTCCACCTCTCCATTGATGCTGGCAACTTTTCTCAGGTGGGATATCTACACTCAGCACCATGCTGATGTAATCCAGCTGGCATTAAGTTGACCACTAGTTCTTAATCCATAACACCAAGGTACATAATAATCAAGATTCCAAAACAGCATGAGTAAAGAATCTTAGAGCTTGAATATTACAATCTGTTAGGAAAAGAAACTAACCACCTATAAGGAAAAACCATCAAAACTATAGCAGAATTCTCAACACAAACCCTTACATGAAGGAGAGCTTGGAGTGATGTAGTTCAAGTTCTAAAAATTAACAACTTCCAATAGACTGATATACCCCTCAAAATTCTTTCAATATTAATAAAAATAAGAAATTTCCATTATAAGGAAAATTTCAATCACCAATCCAAATGTTCTTAAGGATATTCTTGAAAAGGAGAATGAAAGCAACAATTCCATGAATCTCAATAGAATGAACTCATCAGGCAAGACAAGCAATTAAGCAGAAAGGAAGCAAAGAGAACCAACAATAGAAACTAAATATAATGACAAGTAGAAATGAGTATCTATCAGCTATAACCATCCATGTTAATGGTTTCAATTCATCTATCAAAAGAAACCGATTGACAGAATGATCAATAAACAAATGTAACAATGTGGTATGTATGAGATATTCATTTTACACTAAAAGATATTCATAGACTGAAAGTCAATGGATGGAAAACAATACTCCGTGTGATAGGAACCTAAAAATAATAGCTATTCTATTTATAGACAAAAAAGTGGATTTTAAATTGATTGGTTATAAGAGGCAAAGGATGTCATTGTATACTTCTTAAGGCAGCAATCGAAGAGGAAGACATAACAATCATAAATATCTATGCACCAAATGCCAGCACATCCAACTATATAGAACAAGCAGTAATGTATATGGAAAAGTCAGATGAACACTAATACAGTTGCAACTGGGGACCTCTGCAACTCACTGTCACAAATATATCAAGACATAAAAATCAGCAAAGAAATATCAGAACTGAACCAAATCTTTGAACAAATGAACTTTGTATATTTGTGCTGAGTGTAACACCTCACACCAGCAGCATATATGTTCTTTCTCAACAGTGAAGTTTCTCCAAGACAGATTACATACAGATCACAGAACATGTTTAAGTATATGTAAAGGAATTTGAATTATTTCATTTTATTTGATTTATTTTTTACTAGTTAACTTTCCCAAATTATTTCTTTTTACAAGTGTCCCCATCATCCCTCAGAAGAATTAAAAAAATGTTAAGGTTATTAAAAGAAAAAAAAATAAATTAGAATTTGTATAACCACAATCATTAAAATACAGACCACAGTTTAACTGCTTCCTCAGTTTAAAATAAAATTCCACAAAATGTAGCATTTTCTATATCAGAGAGCTAATATTTTCTTAGCTAAGGCAATACTGGATAAAATACAGTGGTCTTTAAGTGATTTTGAATTTTGCTTGTGAAAAGATAGTAGTCATCCACAAGGTGAATATTCAAGATCCAAACTCATCCTTTGTGGAATCTCTCTTGTGTGTCAGTTCTCCATTGAGGGGAAGGATGAAAGTTCACATATTTTGCTGTGCTGAAGGTTCTGCAGCTTTTCACATCTGAAGCTCTTCTGCTGCTGCATCAAGCCCACCCTGTTGTAGACTCTGGTACTATCTTCTCTCATGTTGGAGACCACTAAGAAACAGCTCTGAGCAGGATTTAAAACTAACTAGTTGGATTTGTATATTTATCTGTGAGTCTGTCCTAGGCTTAGGTCCCTTGTCTGGGGACAGGAGCTGATTCATAGTAAGTGAACCTCTATGAATCACTGGTCCTAGCTGAGGTCTGTAGTGGCCTGTGAGGCCAGAGATAACTTAAAGGGGAATATAAGGCCACAGCTGTGGACACTTGGCTAAAACAGCAATTAAGCAGATAGAGACTGCAGCTGCAGGCTGTCTCACTCCTACCATAAATATCATAGAGATATGATTATTCTGAATTGGCATAATTTACTACTTGGAGAAGTCTTTGAAATTGACTCCCAAGGTCTTACTCATTGCCTGTGCTTTTCTCAGTTTTCCCACTCTTTGTTTGGGCCTAACAAAAATAGATGGTCTAGAGTTTTTGTCTTAGCCCTCAGAGTCTCAAACTCAGCTAAAGAGTTTTGATCCCCTCATGGAGCCCTAAAATGATACTACTTGTCACATTTATACAAGCCTTCACTATACACTCATTTGAGAATTTGGGGATGTAGGTCAGATTGGATACTCTGATTTCTGCACAGGATGGTGTGGGTGGGCACAGCAGAAAGGGACTCTGACTACCACCTACCTGGTCTCCTAGGCAGGGAATACTTAATGTTGGTATAACTGAGCCCATTCCTCCAGCTTTTCTGCTCTTCCTCATTTCTGCACTGTAGTGTTTCAGTGTAATTCTGGATGGCCATGTAGCTAAACCACTACTGTGCTTCAGTCTGGAACATCCCTGACCTCCGAGACCACACCATTTGAATGGTTTTGGGAATGTGGATATGACAGTTGACACGTTTCTCTCTGATGTTGTCGTTAATTGATAATGATGAATGTCCATGTCCAACCAATTCCAGTACTGCAGTGCGTCACGAAGGGGCCCTCATCCATGATGCTCTCCTGCTAGGGATGGACCTCCTCCAGGACTTCCAGCATGCCCCCAGTTTCACTGGGCACACCGTGATCTGGCCAGGTCTCAAAGTGATATTTGCAAACCATTCTCTCTGTATGCCAACCTTCAAGAGTTTAAGTTCTCTTAGCATGCAGTCATGAGCATCACTCTCTTTTACATTCCTGACATGCATGACCCCATACTCTTGGAAGGTGTACTAATCCAGCCAGTACCTGACACATTTACTCTCACCTCATTTCACTTCTTTCATCATCATGACCATCATTTGGGAGTTCACCTGGAACCCCATTCACCAAAAGGTGTTTGCTGTGTTTTGAAGGCGTCCTTGCATGGTAATGTAGCTCTTTTTTGGGCTTTGAATTCTTGCACTTGGTTTCTAACTCAGGCATGATGATGTCGGTGCTGATGTAGTCAGACACAGGCTTGTTGGGGTCACCACCCTGGAGGATAACCATGGTGTGATCAAAGGGCAAGATATTTTTGTACATATATTCATTTTTATTTTTTCCTTCTGGCCCTCTTTTTGATGATACAAAAGTTTTCACTCCTGTTGCTGTACGGTCTTAAATTTTTCCCAGAAGCCTTATTTGACTCCATGGTCCCAGCCAATTTGCTCAATTTTCAAACTTATCTTTCAATTGCAGCTGCAATGATACGAGTTGTGTTGAGAGGTTGCTTGAGCAGGAATACTGTGCCTAATGTCTCTACATAGGATTCTTATTGTAATTCATCACCAGATCTGTCAAGGAAAAAAACTGTTCTTCTGCACCATAATATTTTAGTTCCTGGCAGTGAATCATGACATAGGTCACCTTAGAATTGTCATCATTGCTCTCCTCTTTTTTGTCACCAGTGCAGTGAGAGAGAACAAAATCTCCAGGTAGCTCTTGCTTTCCTGGACAAGAAAGCTACCATGTTTTCCC